AAAGCACTCGTGTCCTTACGTCCCGAACACCCTGTAGGCTGAGCTCATATATTCACGAATATTTCCCAAGATACCTTGGTGTTTCCTCATGATTGTCTGTATATATTATTTATAATATTTATTGTATGTTATATAGTCTCTGTATATACAGTGTCTATGATTGTATGAATAGATATAGTCGTCCTGTATGTGTACATATACAACCCCAATCCGTCTCAAAAATACAAGTGAATGCTATCATAATGCTAGTCAGCACCACATTAAAAAAAACAATATGATTCGTTGAAAAATCATATCAATTGAATAGGATATATTTGGCACTGTATTATTATATTAGATTGTGCTTATGATTGATTTTTATTCCACACAAAAATATCAATATCAATAATATCTTAATAGGTTGGTGATTCGCATAGGTGGCAGGTTTAATACTAGTACGTTTTTTTGTACTTTCTATTGTATAAGTTGACATAGAAATTGGTTCAAATGACAGGTACGTTATTCAAACTAATATCAAAAAGTCCATCTAATCCTGTTTCTCATGAAAGTAGATTTAATATTCAGCTATTTTTGTATTAGGAATGCAGTTATATTCACATATTGTTACTTATAATCTAGAATTTTAATTCTTTAGATTGACAGATACCTCCATTACCCTTTTAGCTATAAAGTTAAATTATTGATTCTCTCAGTTATGAATTCGACATGTATCGGGTACAAGTTTAAAGTAACAGTGACCTTTATCAACCATGCCCCATGTGACATTCCCCGTTTCAGTTAACATTGGCATTTCCATAATAATCTAATATATTGCTAATTCAGAATACCCCTATGAGTCAAAAAGGCATGTTGACATTTGACATTTTAACTTAAAGTGCGCACCTAATTCTAGAAAATGGAAAGGAAAATATGATTTGACGGAAGACCTGAGATGAGGTTTTTCTGATCACAAACTTCAGGTGAATGATCTTTTGAATGAGTTTTTTTTACTAAGTTTCATTCTGACGATGATTTTGAATTCAATGACAAGTCTTAATACTCCATATATTGTCAAGATCAGAGAGGTCTCTCACAAAGTTTTGGCTCAATATTTCTTGTCAGATTTGTCATCTGTATGTACAGTGATCGCCTACTATTACAAGTGCGTGAGTAATGACTCGACAAGATCCACAAAATTCAAATGTATTGTAACGGTTATTTTATTAAATGATTTATTTGTGTCTATATTACAGGCTTCTGGTGATTCAATTGGGTTTTTTAGGCACCAGACGACCCATATGCTTTGAAAAATATATATCAGTTTGACCATTTTTCTAATATGTGATGGAATTTACAGTGTGTGTTATAGTGTTTTATAGTGTGAGTTTCAGCAGACCAGACACCCAGAAATGTTTGATTTTGATGCTATTGACAATTTCATGGGTGTGTTCAATCACACCCCTAGCTTATGAGGTTGACCATCTTCGAATTCCAATTTGCAAGTTGGAGAAAGGAGAACCTTCAGAATCAAGATAGAGGTTGACTGACCAGATTCTATTTACCTAGTTCATAGGAAGTGCATAATCTAGGCTGAATAAGATATCTCATTCATTAAAATCCTCAATCAATCTGTGACAAAATAATAAGACATGACCAGAAATTCCATCCTCTGATTCCAAGGTATGATGTTCTGCAATGTGGTTAATAATGTTTGGGGATTTAGGAGTTCATATAGAAGGACAGTAATAACATGTGAATCCAAGCAATCTGAAATGCAAAGAGCAAATATTATTAGAATCAAAATGGTAAACTCGCACACTTGGCTGATCATAATTATTTTTCATAACATCCCTTTTACTCGGTATTGAAGGGGAGTTGGAACGTGGTATGCATGGAATGTTAAGTATTATGTATATTAAGCATAGGTATGTTGGTTTTGTGGTTTTTGGTAATCTAAAAACAGAAAATTTGGTGAAATATACATTTTCGTCGGCGGGTTATTGATTTTGCTTCAATTATCAACTCAGTTTAGGTATTTCGGTTAAGCCAGTCACTGAATCATTTTGCCAAATGATTATTGGGTCTGTTATATAGCATATGGAATACCATTTATAGGTAAAATAATATTACAGTGGTAAAGAAAAGAGAACCAAGCATACCTTTCCTCCGACATTTAGAATTTTGCGAATCTTGTCGAGTCATTACTCACGCACATGTAATAATAGGCGATCACTGTACATACAGTGTAATAACTGATAGCGCATCGACAAGGTTTATGCGTTTGACATGTGGGACTCAGTCTGTGGTCATTTCTTGTGTTAAATGGTATCTTTCAAAGCAATTGTAGATCACTCTAAAAATGATATTTTGTTAACAAGCACATAGCGTTGAGTAAATGTATCGGTTTAATTTTCAACACAAATCAAGTTTCTTCAAATGGTGTTTGGTTCAAATGACAGATTTGAACCAATTAGTTGTTAAATGAAAGATTCCGCGCACGTAAACATACTGAGATCTGGAAAACTCTTACCCTAGACGGTATACAAAATCCCTCAGTTGAGTTTCAAATTAATAGTTATGTTATGCTTGTTGTGTTGTGTTGTATTGTGTTGTATTGTGTTGTCAAACGAGTTAATGCAGAGACGTGTCGCAAAAAGCTCGCGCACGCATTGTTACACATTTTGTGGCGTAATCCAGAGGATCCTCGCTTTTAACATGATAGAATGTGACGTTTTTGAGAAAAATCCTTTCGTCCTCCACATTTACCTCTATATCTCAAAACATTTTAGACGAATAACTCTGATATCATATATATATTGTTAATGGGCTAGGAGCATCATAAAACACGAATCAATTGATATTTTAGGTGAAATAAATATACGTGTTGCTGTGCTTGAAAATAGGCGAATGGCGTAAATTAGCCCTATTTTAATAAATTTTGAAAACCTTTCGTCCTCCACTTTTCCACATACAACAGAAAACACATAATTTTGTGAACAAAATCAACTATTTATTAATAAACTACAGTTTAGGAGCAAAATAATCATGTATGATTTATTAAAAATTGATCTCGTATTTTTTGTTTAATGTAGACCTGAAAAGTTGAAGGTACCAAAAAATGAGCAAAAAAGGTCGCTGTCAACAGATTCTATTTTTCAGACTCTATGACGTCACAATATGGGACGCTTACTAAAATTCATCCTTTTAAATAAAACTTCCATCTACCTTTATCAAGACGAAAAATAAGTATAATAGTCATATATTGTTTGAGTTATGAGCGTTTAAAGACGAAAAATAATTCAAAATGTAACGTGTCAACATGGGATATTTGCCAGATGTTTTTTAAAAACGAACGCGCAAAAAATGTGAATGGAGTGTAGTTGATCTAAAATCTTCATCGAAACAGCTTTAAAATGATATATAACTTTAATTAGAATATTATCTTATAATCCGGGGAATCAAAGTTACATTCACGCGATACCCTTAAAAAACAAATGCGCCACCTTTTTGCGACACGTCAGATGTAACATATTTTCTCCAAGTGTATGCTTCTCAAACTACATCGGATGATATCTCATTTATTATCAATGACAGTATATATTAGTATAACTTTTTTTCATCCTTACTATAAATCAATTCATGATCTGATCAATAAGTATCAGAAAAAGCATATGTTATAACAAAATTCTATCAGAATGAACGTATGCATCACTACACATTGATAGCAATTTTATTAATAAAAAAGTAGATTAACGCCTTTTGATCTACTGGTGAAGAAACTTCTAATATTTGTGGTAGGTTGGTATGAATAATGTTATTTGTGATATTAATATCAAATCCCAATTCTTAACAGGATGATTAAACTTCAAGTATGTATTTCCGTTGTCACAAATGGCGGACTCAACCGTCGCTTCAACTGTTTAATCACTTGGTCCTCATTTCATGGGATTTTATCGTCGCTAATTCTGTGCATGCACTAAACTCTTGTGATAATGTATCATGAATCGCCACAATATAGCGTCTTCGATATCGTCAATGACAACGGAATCTGAATTTGAGTAATTTAGAAAGACAACGGCATATGGTAATTACAGTGTCCGTTGTCCCGTATCTCATTTTGATCGGTTAAATTAAAGACTTTATTTCGATGGTAGAACATTGTTAACTGTACAATGAGTATAAAGACACTTTGATTGATTGTTCTTCCAAAGGAATTTATTAAACATACAGTTCATGAAAATCTAATTGAAGCAACAGTTATATCCACCATTTGTGACAACGATATCTGACTTTACCGTTGTCAGGCTATTCCGGGGTGAAATTGTAACATTTTTAGTTCAACTGAGGTAAAAATGTACTTTTCATTCTAGTTATATCACATTCTTCTCTCAAATGTATCAGATATTAGCAAGTAGTTTGAGTAAAAATAGGAATGTCTCAACTCATGAAGATGTTGTGTTTAAATTTAGAATTCCTTTGGCAAGGCAGTTCTTCTGAGTGAACGTAATCGCAGTTTCATCACGATGAATAATCATAAATGTATCCCCGTGATTCAATAATTTCTGGGAACAATTTTCTGCAATGCATAAATAAAGAAGCACAATAATTTACTTTCTCCTTGCTTTTTATCTCAACACGGCTAATTCAATAATGCTACCCTATTGATGATTCTGATAACGTCAGCACCATCCACTGAGCGGAGGGCTACAGGCATCATACACTCCGTTCCTTCCTATAAGGAACACAAGGCTTCATAAATCATATTTTTTAATCCTTCCTAAAGGAACAGAGTGGATGACGTCTGGCGCAGGCTGCGTCAGCAAAGAAGAGATCAGTGATCAGCATCTTCACCTTATTGCAACACTGCTAACGTCCCAAACGACCCTCCTTAAAGCTCTCCAATGTAAAGCTCCGACGTTAACATAACAAATATTTTACTTTTCAAATGAGACAAATTGACGGTTGGAGAACACTTAAACTGTAATCTATGTCAATAATCAATAGCTTGTGTTATTTTCCAGATGACTGATTTTGACGATCGAGCTAGATAACAATGTTCATCGACTGTTGCAAGGTGATCACATATTGGATCTAACTACATCAACGATTTGGATTACTTTATTTTGATTAACAAGTTAACTGCAAATTGAATCCAGTGTTGAATGTGTCCATATGTCGATGCTCTACTCACATCAAGCACGAGAATCAGGAATACCAGTATATCATACTACTGAGAATTAATTAAAAAGCCTGGTTGTACTACTTAATAGTTACCCGAGGAGATTTACACACGATTGCTAGCACACATCTATAAATGCTGTCATGTCTTTGACACATGAGATTATAACTTACCATGCATAACGAATGGTGGGTAATAAGACAGTTGTGAAAAAACGAGAGATGCGCAGTGGATCGATCGTTGAATAAGTGTGCTGTCTAATACCACTAGAATGATTCAAAGGCTCAACAACTACCTCATTGACTTTTATCGGCGTTTCGAAAGGCGTTTGACAGTCATTATGTATCAGTTTGGCACACCATGGATGTCGCATGCCGGCAGTTTGCAGCTGGTAAAAGCCTTCATATTTGTCTTCCAATTCTAAAAGACAACACAGCATCAAATCAGGAGTATAATCTATCAGGGGACGAGACCACAGACCTCAGCATGTTGCTCTCATCCTACCATCACCCCCATCTGCAGGGGAGCCATGGGACTTATAGCCACAATCGCAGGAAAATAGTGGGAGCCGAGTCTATGGCCTCAGATTTGCAACCCGAGTTACCATTCGGACACAACTGCAGTACAGAGGGTTGTGAGTGGGTGCGCATTAATGTGAGTGGACTATATTTTGAAACGAGGCTAGTTGTGCTCAATAGACATCCAAACAGTGTCCTTGGTGACCCAGAAAAACGTGATAAATATTATGACTCCAATCGTATGGAATATTTCTTTGATAGACACAGACCATCGTTTGAAGCGATATTTACTTGGTACCAAAATGGTGGAAAATTAAGACGACCACAAAACATTCCAGATGAAATATTCCTTACAGAGGTTGGGTTTTTTGAACTTGATAAGGAAATTGTGGAAGATTATAAAAAGGATGAAGGATATGCTGAAGAGGAGATCATTCTTCCAGAGAACGAGATACTCAAGACAATTTGGATGTTATTTGAGTATCCAGAGACCTCAAGGTTAGCTTTCATAATAGGAATATTATCATGTCTTTTTACAATGACTTCCATAGTGCTTTTCTGTGTAGAGACACTTCCACATTACTCCAATGACACGTGTAGTGGTCCAGATGATCCACCAAGTTTCGTGGACCCCTTCTTTGTAATCGAAACGATGTGTACGGCATGGTTCACAATAGAATTCATCATTAGATTAATATCGAGTCCAAACAAGCTAAAGTTTTGGAAGGATGTCAAAAACTTAGTGGATTTGACTGCAGTCGTACCATACTATGTGACATTGATAAATGTTATAATTACAATGACGTGCGAGAGCTCAAAGACTAGCTCATCTCTAGCGTTCCTGAGAGTCATCCGTCTCGTGAGGGTATTCAAGCTCACAAAACACTCTGCTGGGCTACAAGTCCTTGTCCTTACCTTTAAAGCTTCCATGGGTGGCCTTGGCCTCTTTGTGATCGCATTGTTCGTATGCACATTGGTATTTTCATCAACTATATATTACATGGAACTAGGCATCCCTGGTTCAGAGATCAACAGTATTCCGGATGGCTTCTGGTGGGCGGTTATCACTATGTCAACAGTTGGGTATGGGGACAAGGTGCCGAAAGGAACATGGGGTAAAATAGTGGGATGTGTATGTGCACTTTCAGGACTTTTAACGTTAGCAATACCTGTGCCTATTATTTTAGAGAATTTCATCAAGTTTTATGCACACAAAACTGGTCGAGGTCGGGTTGGATGATATCGAGCCCATCTTGACCTGAGTCGTCCAGATTACTGCTGTTTGCCAAAACTCACGAACCCAAATAAAGATGATTGATTACCCAAATATGGAGACACGATGCAATAATGGAGGCTACATTATAACATATTAGCCAGCTTGGCGTTTCATTTCCTTTTGTATCATTGGCAAATATAGCTCATGAAACTACCAAAGACTATTCAAAACCTTAATTAGGTTGGTGCTAATGACACCATCAAGTGTTAATACACATAATTGTAAGTTGTAACTCCTGAGTTAAATGGATCATCTTTAGATAAAAAGTGAGAAGATGCATGCATCCCTATATCTATATAGTTCCAGAGAAAATGAGAAAGTGGTACACGTCTATCTGGTGTTTGTATGCCCTTAGGAAAATAAAATGATGTTAGTTCAATTCAAAGATAATTGCAATAATCCTAAAGTAGTGAATAAAACCCAAAGTGGAACTCTGAACTTTGAATAACATTGTTTTGAGATTAACATCGTCATTTCGAATGAAAAGATATAAGACCCAATTGGGTATTCCATAATCGTTATAAAGTGCATCCCATTTTAGCGGTGTACCCAAGAGTCCCCCATTTTCTTGATGCATTTAGATGATTCTGTAGTGCAACTTGTAAGGAATTCAAATTAGATGACAGAGATGTATGTAGTTAAATGAAGGGAATGACTATAAGCACTACACTCTAGGCTTAGTACAAAGTCGAAAGTAGGAGCTGGGGACAAAATGAAGTTAGTGGTAATAACTTATCTTATTTGTGAACTCGCATGGACAGTGATTTCACTAGAGAGACTAGGTAAAATTAGGTTATTCAATTGCTATGAACATATTGTCTGAATTGATATATTCTAACATCTGCATTCGGGACATTCAAAACACTAATTGAGTGCATCTCTGACCATTTCTTCTTAGACAATTTTCCCTGATTCAATAAGCTCCCTAATTGGGTCCATGTTAAGAAAAAAGATTATCTAATCAGAGGTATAAACACTTGAAAGATCTCGATGTTCTTTTTTTGTTAGCTTATAACATTGAATGGTATTGAATGAAGCGTGCTTGTTCAAGACATGCTTGTAATAAAGTATTTGCTGTTATACTTAACCCAAATTACTACTTCACTACAGAATCCATAAGAAATTTGCTCCCTCCCTCACCTGCTCATACATATCGTAATATGTGATTTTGATCATTGAGGATTTCACAATCTAGTATTCAGTCTAGCAGTATGAAGCATCACAAAATATAATATTGCATAACTTTGGCATCTTGCTTCAGTAATTGACAACATAATTGATGAGGGCTTGTACCCTGCGTGCAGAAGCTCTCTTTTAAGAAGTGAAGTCAAACGAATGCAAAGGGTAGAGGGCTTGGGATATGAGACAGTGAAGTCAACTCTTGAATGTTACATCAACAGGTCCCCTTTTGAACAAATCGAGGACATCACTGATCATATCATCTACACTTATTCTTTTGTCCATTTTAAAGTGCATTTGACTCGATATAAGTTGAACAATTATAAAATGAACTGAAAAAATAATAAATGCGGTCATAGCGATCAATGTAGAACTGAAAAATAACATTATACTTAACTTGGTTTTGCTTTAAACTCTTTCGATTAAATGGTTTCATGTATAATTCTGATACATTTAGAAAATACTTTGATATTGTTCATAAGCAAGCCCCAAATTAAATTGATTTGATATCAATTTAACAATGCCTCTGCCATGTCTGTAGTCAATTCAATCATTAATAAATATACAGAGAGTGGTTTTAGAAAAAACGAAAGCAACCAGTCAAGCTTGAAAACATTGATGATCAACATTACAAGTACATCCCTATTCAGTAGAATTAGGTATGACACATCTAGTACTATCCCTCAATTGTGTTTTGATCAAAATTCAATTTATTCGAATGCATTATCTGTTTGAAGTAACTTGACAATGATAACCATTCATGGTTTGATTCAAGTCGAAGATTCCCATTAGTGATTTTTATTGAATAACAAATGAGAGCTCTGCAGTGAATAGCATTTAGTAAGAGGATGCTCGTGTAACAACTAAGAAATAGCTGCATTTTATTGGCTGTTTCATTATCACGTGATAAAGCAGAATGAATAATGTGCACAAGGACAAGATGAGAGGTCGGGAATCTTCCCATTGTTATAGCCACTGGCAGACCTGTTTTATATGATTTGAAGTTTCAGGTGTAAAAACCTGCCTATTAGCTTTCTTAACTATTTACCCTTTTGCGTTCGTTGACTTCGCTTCTAAGAGAGCTTCGTCTTCATTAGTAGTTTATACACTGGTGATCCACTCAATTACGCTGGAACCGTTTCGGTAACAAAATGTCGGAACGTCGAAGGCACGATTTTTCTGTTTTCCTTATTTCACATGTTGTAGGCAGAATTCCCACGACACTTTTATCACAAAGGTGTATCAGTATCATATGATTAAGAAAATGTACACATTTGCGAACAAATAGCTCAGAAGACAACGGAATCGTCGATTTAATCCCTCACTTAAGAACAGTTAAAATCTGCACTTTTAACCCTTACCGTTTATGTGAGTTAAGAGAGGAATTAAATCGACCATTCTATTGTCTTCTGAGCTATTTTTTCGCAAACATGTACCTTTTATAAAACATATGATACTGATATACGTTTGTGAGAAAAAATGTCGTGGAGATTCTGCCTACAACGAACGAAATAAGCAAAAAAGAAAAACCGTACCTTCGATGTTCCGACATTTTGTCACCGAAACGAACCGTAATCGAGCGGATCACCAGTGTTATAACTAGACTCTGCGGCGCAGGGTATCAACTATTCGTATTAGTATCGAAATTGCAAATGCCTTGACATGTATACATATAAACCGGTTGGTGGGGGTATTCATTAATTTGAGACAATGCGATACATGATATGATTGTACAATTATTACATACAAATCTTACATGTAATATATGTTGAGTATGACATGGATTAAGTATTGATTTGACCTAAAGACGTATGGATTATAAGTAACAAGATCATACGAGTAATATGGACCTACTACTACTACTACCTACTAGCAAATTGCATTCTAGATCTCGCGATTATCATGGTTTGTACTTATTAACGATACAAATAACCATTCTTCAAGATCGGGCCTCGTTCAGCTGAAAATATGTGAAATACCCTTGGACCAAGAATGATGTAAATAGTATGCTTTGCTTTGAATCATCCTTTCTCCTCCATATTATGACACTCATGCAATATCAAATTTAAAGAGGCACACTATGTCATAGCAATTGGTATTTGCTTCACCTAAAAGGTAACAAAACAGAGCGATCAAGAGCCGACCCATGAGTGGTTTATACTCGTATATTTTCTTTCCTTGTGGTCGCCATAATTATGATGAATCAAATGTAATCGAGTAAGAAATAAAAAGAGAGTATATGTCATGTGCAAAATTCAAGCATATTTTGTGATTCTCATACATAGAATATGTAAGCTCAATAAGAACGATTCAGGTCTAGCTAGCAACTAGTGTTTTTAGTGAAGATTATGCCTCGTTTCGTTTCTGCAGGGTTTTATGGGAAGTATATATGCACAGAAAACAAAATGGGGAACTGAGAAAACACTTGATCTTTTGAGGTAACTTGTTTTTATTGAATATGAAGGATGTTTCCTGGAAGTTTTCAATTCTTTAAACCTTGCTCAGATATAGTTTTATGATAGTACTATCCTAATGGACAACAATGAATATCAAATTCAATATATCAAAACATTTAATGTGATTGTTTCTTGGCCAGAGCCCCTAAAATGTCAATATTTGACAAAAGTGGGTGTGTCACTTCTCCATTGGATCTCATATTAAATAGGATTTTTTCTAAAACACACTTGTCACTTTGAACAAGATGTGTGATTTATGGTACACATTTTGAAAAAAAGTACAAATTGAAGTTGAAATTCATAATTTTCAACGTTGTCCAATGGAATCCTTAAAAATAGATATTGGCCCACTCCATATGTCCTTTTATCACACGTCAGTGAATGTCATATTCATGTAGTATATTTATAAGCATAATTGTTACGTTTTCATCGTCTACAGTCTCCGGTGACAATAGAATTACCTTCATTACAATTAGAAAGGGGATATTGGGGAGTATTTGCTAAATACGTTCATTCTTCTTGTTTATTACGATATTGAACATAGTATCTATAGATGTATATTGTAACAATGACATGGTTAATCATTATTAATTTTACAAATAAATTTATCTAAATTACTCGTCGCCATTTATTTCATGTTTTTATTGGCTTGAATAATCTTGGATATATTTTTTCCTTATTTAAAAACAAATTGTCTTGACCTTTCTTTCTGGACCATTTTCACTGCAAGTGCGATACCCACTGTGGTCGCTCTATAGATCTGCTTTTTATGTTTAAAAGTGCGTATTTCCATTCGTATGTATAGTTTAAGATTTAAGCCCCGGATCGAAGCCCTGCAATGTGGACTGAATCATTCTTTAAAAGGTGTTATTTCAGCCTTTGCATGAGATGCGCAGTATCGAGTGTGAAGTTTTGGAAATAACGTCAGAGTGGAATGAATCAGCCACAATGCATCAGGTCTTGGGCTTAAATTCTTTTCACAGATTGCAAAATATTTTCTAGGAAATCACCTAAAAGGTAATCACAAAAAAACATATTTTCAGTGAAACATTTTCAAGTTGAAAGTCAAGTTGGCAAAACATCAATTTCAATCTGTAAAGTCAAGTTGTCACATTGACAACCATTCAGCGTATGATTTTGGGTTAGTCATTGGTTATATAATGCAGTGCAGATATATGAAATACTGTGTTCGGATTGGTTGGAATCGGACACATCTTTGCTAGCTATGTGTGAAGTAATTTGTAAGCATATTTAGTTCCAAAAGTGGAACGTTGAAAAAAAGAACTTGCTTGGAAAGGCTAAAACGTTACTTTTAAACTACGACCGGTCCAGAGCACTGAGCACGCTAAGCTCAGCGCTGTCGCCGTACCCATGAGATAGCGAGTTCAAGATTCGTGAGCTCCTTGCGTTTATCACAATCTGATACGCATCACATCTTTCTGCCTTCAACTAGAAATAACAAGTGTTTGTTAATGTCCCTCTTTGAAAAGAAGTGAATCAATTTCTGCGAGTTGTCTATTGAAAATAATGAAATTCTCACTGCTGAGTCCGAGCTAAAATCAAACGTCACGTCACGTTTACTGAATTCATGCCCTGGCCCAAAATTGGCACATATCTATACATTTGTGATTCGATGAGCATATAGACTTAATGGTCCATGTATAATTCCAATTACTTAGGCTCGTGTTAGATAAAATGTTACTACATATTTCACTAACGTTAACTGTAAAACCAATTGCCTCATCAGAGCTCCATTTGTTACAAGTGCTGTTCACATCCTTCAACTTTCATCAAAGTGGCAAAACCCACATTGCTTCATAAATCGCATACGAAATTGTTAAAAAGAATAAGTGACGACGTTCATGAGCAATTTATGGACGTTTACATTTAAGGCGTTGTTAGCAAAGTCGTTTTTATAAATTAGTAATTCAAGGATTGATCTCACTC